TTTCTCTCTTGACGAAGATGCTTTTCCTGCTTGCCTCTTGTGTGGGACTAACTTTCCCCTCAGTGGCTGTTGGTAGGTGTCACGAAATGGCAGTTACCTGTGTTTGTAATTGGAAATAAATAAATAAATTTGTAAGATGGCTGTGGTTCTTTGTTTAAAATGTTCCCCCATCAGGTTTAATTGAGCTGTAGTTCCAGAGTGGGGCCTGCAGGGGTATCACTCACTGGGTTGAATGGGGCTTCTTCATCTGCTGGCCTACAGTTTCCAGCTGCCCGAAGGCCAAAAAGTGCAGGAAAACAGGGACTGTCCCAAGGCTGTCTTCATCCAGTCAGCTGGACTGGGGAATGAATGGACGTTTCCCTGCTCTCTTGGGCAAGAGAGAGAGGCTGAAGTACAGCCAGAGGCCGGTCCAAGGAGAGATCCTATTCTTAGCCCACAACCTCCAGAGGTAGAGAGTATTGTGTGTAAGGAAAGAGGATTTATGCCCTGTTGGCTCATAGTGTGTGCTTACTCCTACAGTGTGTGTGTGCTCCATAACTGTGTAAATAGTTAAATAAATTCTTTAATTTGGGTTAATAATCTGTGTTGTGCTCTGACCACATATCTTCCCTGCTCTCTGCAATACCAAATGGAGGGGTAGCCCAGGGAAGCAAGGAAAGGCCAAACCCTTCTATCTGACTACACATACATACACATGAAGCTGCTTTATACATAGCCCAAACAGAACTTAAACTAAATGCACATAAAATGCACAGTGTACACTTGATTTTCTTTATGTGTGTTAAGTGATTCTCATGTGAGATCCAGTACATTTTATAGCCAAATATGTAATTTAAACCCCATATTTAACTAGTAATAGTCCTCAGCTTCATATGTGAAGTGAACGGACATTGGCTTTTTCTTACAAACAGGCATATGTACGTATATTGAGGATGTATGTGTGCTCACTGTATTCTGTGAACAGGGCTAGTGATAGAGCTATTAAGGTCGGTATCGTCTGTATGAACTGGTAGCATCTCTCCAGAATCAGCCAGGGGTCTTTCACATCACGGGGGTTGAGTAAGACGCTGAAAACCTGTGCTTTGGGAGAGAGAAATCAGTTTATTTGAAGGTCCTCTGGAATCTCTGTTCTCTAGGACACCTGGTCCTATTATCATACACTAAAAAACTACGTTATTCTAGATACATTTCAGACAGGAGTTGTATATATCTTTTCAGTGTCAGGACCAGAGGTCATTTCGGGGGGGATCGCGGGGGATTGCAGTTCCCCCGGGTGAGGTATGGGGGGGGCACATGACAAAGCCCCGCCCCCTGCTTCCGGCCGCCCCGCTTCCGGCCCTCATTTAGCCAGGAGGAGGCAGGAGAAGAGGGAGGGTAAGTTGCTTCCTCCCTGCCTCTCCCCACCCCTGGCCGGCAGCGGCGGCTGGGACCGTTGGTGGCGGGGTGTGTGGCCTTATGACACACTTCCGGTGATGTCAGGGGGTGTGGCCTTATGACACACTTCCAGTGATGTCAGGGGGTGTGGCATATGCTAATGAGTTATGCTAATGAGTTCCCCTAGCTCTTTTTCTACAAAATGACCCCGGGTCAGGACTAATTCAACAGAGCCAGTACCTGGAGTTAAAAAGGAAGTGGCAGTTTCTGTTTGCTGTCTTTCCGTGATTATGGATGTACAATACGTGCTTCTTCCCATTTCATATCTACTTCTCTCTCCACAGGGTCCCTGTACGCACTTTTGTGCAAAGGAATGTTGCTGTGTATTATGTGTCATAGTGAGTATTGCCTCTTCCTTCCTTTTTTCTGTGCAGCTGCCAGGTGCCCATGGGTGTCGGAGATGGCCCTGAGGCTTATTCCTATCCCAAAACTATCCTCCTCACTGCTCTACCAGCAGTTGGAAGTGCAGCGGGGAGTGTGGATGTGTTATCTCAAATGCTGTATTTGTCCAAAAAGGCTGTCTCCTGTTTATTAGGGGAATTAGCAAGGAGACAGGAAAGCTTGCGGGAGGGAGGTAACTAGTGAGATTCTCCACCTATGTTTTACGGGGTCTTTCCCTTAGAGAACCTCTCAAAAATGAACCCGGCAGTGGCTTAACCAAAAGGATTGTTTTTATTAAAAGAAGAAATCCTAATAAATGTACACATACAGAAATAAAACACACTGGGTGCGGTCAGACGGCATGCTGGGAGCAGTTTAAATTGCTCCAGCCCTGTTGCGGTCTTTTTTAACCTGGAAAATCGCAATGTGTCAGAACCCACAGCCAACAACGCTTTCAGGAAAGGTAATACTTTATTGAAGAGATATAACATGCATTAACATACGCACTGTTAAGAATGACGGCTGCCCATGGGGCATAATAGGATATAGGGTATTTGTGTGCACCCCCCCCACTGCAGCAAAGAAGCACAGAAGGAATGCAAATGCAATTAGAAGACAACCAACCTCCCCACCCCCATGGCAGCATAGCTGACATACTGCCCCCTCGAAAATCTGCTTCACACCATTCATATGGGAAGTCTCCCAGGCATTCCGGGAGGTCTCCCGGTTATTCCGGGAGTTCTCCCGGTTTGTCCGGGAAAGCACGATGAAACTTCCGCAACAGTACAGGGGCCCGAATATCCCCTACTTCCACCCATTTGAGGTGCTGGGGTCCAAAGTCTGCCCATTCAACCAAATACATCAATATTCCACGTTTGATTTTAGAGTCCAAAATATTTGAAATGTCATAATGTTCCTCGCCCTCAACCATGATTGGAAGGGGTACCGGTTTTGATGGACGCCAAGGACAGGAACCGGAATCCTTTTTTAGGAGGATGAAATGAAACACAGAATGCAATTTTCTCAAGTTCTTGGGTAAATCCAGTTCCACGACCACCTCACTGATTACCCTCTTCACCGGAAACGGCCCGATGTACTTTCAACCCAGTTTTTGACTGGGGTGTAAAAGCGGGATGTTTTTCGTAGACACATAAACAGAGTCTCCAGGCTGCAGAGCCCAACCCTCCACCCTTCTCTTGTCAGCCTGGTATTTGTACGCTTCCTTGGCAGCATCTAAAGTCTTACACAGTAAAGGCCAAGAGTCTTGTAACTGTTTACACCATAGAGCAGCATCCCCCGGTCCCAAGTCATTGTCCCCAGCCAGGAACAGGATGGGCGGGCTATCATAACCATACAATGCTTTAAAAGGAGACATTCCAATAGAGGAGTGCGACGTGTTGTTATAACAGAATTCGGCCAGGGGCAAGAGGTCGACCCAGTTGTCTTGTTGATAGTTCATAGAACAATGGATATATTGTTCCAGGGTCTGATTGACCCGCTCCGTTTTTCCGTCAGCCTCTGGGTGATAAGCGCTGCTCAGCCCCCTCTCCAGCCCCATTAGTTTCATTAGCTCCCCCCAGAATTTAGACACGAACTGAGACCCCCTATCGGAGACCACCTTAGTGGGGAGCATGTGTAAATGCACCACGTCTCAGAGAAATGCCTTTGCCAATGCTTTAGCCGTAGGCAGGGAGGCAAAGGGGATAAAATGCGCTTGCTTAGAAAATAAATCCACTACCACCCATATAACAGTCATTGTTTTACGCTGCGGGAGATCTGTAATAAAACTCACCTCCTTGCTCTGGATCGCTGCACTGTTGTTTTTTTCTCTCTCTCAGTTTGGGCATGCACACAGGCAGCCATCTGTGGAACTAAATGTTTCGTGCTTGCGCAGAACAGTGATTTCTACTTCAACCCACTGCTGTAATGCTTCCCTTTAAACTTTAGAGGAACACTTACCTTAAATGTTTACTGCCGAAACTGGCCTACGTGAGATCCCGAACTTGTCTAAAGGCTAAAACTAGGCACAATTTAAACATTGTTTTTTATAACCTATGCGCCCAACCGCCAATGCTTTTTTTAAAATGGCGGGTGAAAAGCGGAAGCCTCGGGCAGCTTTCGAGCGCGTGGAGGGGTTTAAACCGGAAGTGGCTCAACACCGCAGGAGCGATCACACGGGGAAAATGTGGCTGGAACCGGAGAATCAGGAAAACACCACTTGGGGACCTGGTATCAAAATACTCTGGGTTAAAGCAGTTTTGAGCTGGAAAGCGATGTCTGGGGATGGGAGGCAGATGTTGACCGTGTGATCACACAGATAAAATCCGTTTCTGAGGCGGGCCGAAAGTGGACTAAACCGCACCCACGTCTGACCGCACCCACTTTAAAACATACACACAAGTACTGGAAATACAAAGGTGAGCAGGAATAATAGGAGGCTGTCGGGAGTTATAATTACCATTCCAGACATGCAGAAGTCCATGGAGAAGAGGCTGTGAAGATGGGAAGAAACCCAAAACAAATTTGAGGTTGACCTGTCAGTAGGCACCCAGAACAGACACACTGCATTGGAAAAATGCTTGTCCAGATATAGGGCAAAATGATACCTCTGGGCCTGGTGATGTGTTTGCCCCTTGAAACCATGTGTACTGGAGGGGTTAACTGGGACCAGGACAATGTGCAGGGGGAGCTCTGTGTAGCGTTCCCAGGAGAAGACAAAGACGTCATATTTGCATCTGTGTAATTTGGGTGGTCTTTATGTAGAGAAATATCTCATTGTTTTGGATGGGTGGAAACTGTTAGCTTGTCAGATGCCCTAAAGCCATCAAGTTTGGACTTGTTCTTTGCTGCCAGGAATAATTTTTGTTGGCTCTGTGCCATCTTGGTGTGGTGTACATTTCCAGGCCACACTCTTGGCCTACTTCTAGGCCAGACATGGCTAGAAATTAGAGGGTGTTTGGGGGGGGTAGAAGATGATAAGGGGTGTTTTCTGCCAGTTGCTCCCCTCTGCAGGGGCACATAGAGGGGGCCTTACAGATGGAGGCGGCTGGAAGTGATGCAAATGATCTCAGGGTTTCTCATGGAAGGGCAGATCTCCTGCCTAAGATCCATGGGCATTTGTGACTGTCCCTACCAAAAACATTTTACCATCCCTCTGCTGTCCAAGGTGTCAATGTGTGGTAAAATCATCCTGTTGCATGGCCAGGCATTTCATGGGACCAGGTTTCCACACTATTGGATGCACACTATACTGTGCCTGTCAGTGACGGCTGAAGTGTAGATTGGCATTCATAGCTACCTTCTGACATGACTGGAGGTGGCAGGGAAGGACCATGCAGGATTGTCCCCCTAAACTCCAGAGCAGTGTGATGCCTTGGCACCAACCATACTTCTTCTGTGCTGAAGAGTCTCCTATGTCTTGGATATTAGAGAGCATGAGAACAATCCTATGTACAAATACCGGGGAGAAAGTACCACTGAATTCACTGGGCCTTACTTTTGCACAGGATTGGGTTGGAAATTACCTCTGTTGTGCAAAAGGAGAAATGAGCTTAAATCCAGCCCAGTACTCTAGTGTGTACAGATCTGGTGGCACAAAGATTGCAGCAGAAGCAGTGGTGGTGGGCAGGCCCAGCTCTGCTTATATGGGATGTCTAGAGAAAAAGCAACAGAGACTAATGTTCTCCTTGAGGCATAGGGGGCAGTACTAAGGACTGGTGTGCCACAGCACCTAAAGGACTCTATATGCTGTGGGCCACTTAGCTACTATAGGACCTAGAAGTTTTCATAGGCTAGTTCTTGTGCATTTGAAATCCCATCTTTGAGTTTGGGAAGATGGAAGTGCTTTCATATGAGATTTCACTATGGTTCAAAAAGTTATCTCACTTCCTTCCCTCAGTGCTGTATTCCTGGTCACTTATCTGGTGTTGGTGTGCTGTGAAGGCCCACGGTGAGTATGTTTACTAACTTGTGGTGCCAGGTACCAAGGGCGAGTGAGTGGGTTGGCTGCGTGTGGCAGGCATGCGATCTGGAAAGATTGCTATGCGCATCCATCCCCAGAATACCTTTTTCTTTAATCCCTTGCAAGTGGGTAGATGCCAGGGGTGTAAGATCGCAGCATGGCTTTGGAAATGTGAGGGGCACGGGGGATTGATAAAATTTAGAGGTGTAAAAAGTTCGTTTTTGGGCAGTGGGAATGAGTCAAGGCTGGACTTGCCATGAAACTAAAGGCAGCGTGCTCTTTTTCCTGCTTCTTATTTCTGTTATTTTAAAAAGAGAAGGTGTATCAGCCTAGAATGGGAAGTGGGAATGTCATTTTCTTGGTGCTTCTGGTGGCAAATAGTCAGCTAGCACTGGAAGAATTTGCTTATACCAATGCCCCCTCTAAGCTTTGGAGTCTTGTGAGCAAAAATTCTACTTTGTGAGCTCCAGGCATTAAAGTTGTGAACGAGCGATTTGGCTACCGCATGAATCAGTTTGCTCTGGAGCAGGCCTGTAGCCAGGAATTTCTAAGTGAGGGGCATTTTAATTCTTCAGGGGGCACTGGCTAAATCGATTAAAGGTAACTCACGTGCTTCAGCCAGCCCCAGAGAGGTGCGGTGCATAGAGAAGGCAAGGAGCAGTGGCGGCATGGGGGGGGGGGGTTCATGGCAGCCACCGCATCTTGCCAGAGAGTGGGGGGTGCTAGGCTGAAAGGAAGTGGGGGACCTTAGCAGGAAGTCGGGAGGGCAGGCCCCCAAATGCCCCACTGTAGCTACGGGCCTGCTCTGGAGCCATCCTTCCTGAGCTAAGAAGAAAATGTGTGAGCCAGAAGCTAAAAAACTGTGAGCTAGCTCACACTGACTCAGCTTAGAGGGAACACTGCTTATAACATGTTCCAGAATGACAGCCCTCTTTGAACTGTTACTGTTTGCTCTTCAGGAGACGCTTTCCATGGAACATCATCCTTCTGTCTGTCTTTGTAAGTAAATGTTTTGCTGTGGAACTTGGGCTGAGAGTAATGCAATCATATGAAACTTTCTGTGGTGTGGCAAGAAATGTTTTGAACGACCACTAGGCAGCTAGAGAGTGTGCCTTGACTGTCTGAATCTATTTTAAAAATGTAGAAAAAATTGTCAGAACTCCAAAATAATCTATGTTAGACTATCTGCCATGCCTAGACATTTATATTCCACCCCCACAAGTGATTTGTTTGTCAAACCACTTTGCTTATGTCAAATCCATTGGCTGTTTTTGATTCACACCCACCCTAGATCTAGGGATGATGTGTGTGGTTATGGAGAACTTATCCGTCCTCTTTTCCAGGAGTTAATATCACATTTGGCAGACATTTTTATTGCTGTGCTAAACTTGGGGCTGTCCAGTCAGTAATTATAGTTTGAAAATCAATTATAGTTTGGAAATTGTTATGTTCTAAATTATGTTTAAGCGACAGTATTCCGGTTTTCTCTGTTGGGATTGGCTCCCTAATAAAGACTGCCTATTGGTCCTAAAGCCATACAGAACGTCCTATCCTGAGGCTCTGCTCAGGTCCAATCAGACCTCCTGAATCTGGTAACATTGTATATAGTTCAGTTACCGTATAAGTGTGAGTGCCGCTCTTTGCAGAGCAGTCCTTCAGACTCTTTGCAGGGCAGTATTCAATGTTTGAATAAAGCCTTTTATTTTGACCATCATCTCCTGCCTTCAATATCTAAAAGAAAATTTTAAAAATCAATTATAGTTTGGATGTTAGAAAAACAGCAACAGTATCCTGGATATGGGATTTTCGCCGTTGTCTTATTACCGTAGTTCTACTGTTTCTCATTAATGAACTTATTTTATAAGGTCAGTTGCAAGATGAAATTGTGGAAGACAACAGTTCTCCCCAATTGGCGAAGTCTGTTCCCTGAAATGGTGCAGAACTAAAGTTGTTTGGCTGAATAAGCATTGGGTTTGGGTTCTTTTGAAGATTGTGGCGATGACTGTGATGTGATGGGGGACAGCAATCTGTAGGTCATCGTTCTTGTCTGTTTATCTTTTCATCTAGACTTTGGCCATGGGGTTCATGACAGGCACCATTGCTAGGTAATGTACAAATATTCTCTCAGCTTGCTCTCTATCAGTTAAACTCCTAGTTCCCTGTTAGAGGGAATATTCTGAATGTCTGTTCAGTTGGAGACTGTTGGGTTCGTATTAAGTAAGTCTCCACCTGTTAAAAAAGGGGCAACAATATCCAGAAATTAAAATCGGGAAATGGTTAAATGGAACAGAGTTTGAAAAAAGACCCTATTTTTGTTTTGCCAAAGCAATTATTTTTCACTAAAGTTCTAACAGAAAACCCTTTTTTTGAGCGAGTGCTACAACTGGTGGTTTAACTTTGGACACAGGCTTGATTAGCTAATGGCTGTGTGGCTTTCTGCAGAATACTATACAATGGTTGAAAGGGACTAGAAAGGGGGCACATATTCCCACACTCAGATACTTGTATGTTTTAGTTCAGCATATTTTTCTAGCACGTTACAAATGTCAGTGTGGTCAGACTCTATTAGAGTGTTGTACTATAAGTGAAGAAACTCAACTTCAGATTTCTTGCCATGAAACTTTCTGGGTAACCTTAAACTGGCTATTTTTCCTCAGCCTAACTTACCTCACAGGTTGACTTTAAGGATAAAATGCAGGTCGGGAGATGCCATGTACATTTCCTTGAGCTCCTTGCAGAAAGGGGTAAGATAGAAAAATGCACCCAAAGATAGAATTTATTTATTGAAGTAGTTTTGCTTTGGTTTTCTTCCTGAAGGTACCTAAAGCATCTTACAACCACAAAAAATACATTATTCATATAAAACTATAAACAACAAAATAGCAACACAACATCGGATTACCTCCTGGGCTGGTCCTGGACTCCCATACTGGCTCTTCTGAAGGCATGGCTTTTGCTCTTCCGCTTGGGCCCAAGGCTTCATGCTTCTAGCTATGCCCAGGCTTAATAGGTACCAGAACAGAAAGGGAGGGGGAGTCCTCAGCGAGACAGTGAAGCTGCTAAAGATGTTCCACCACTCATTCCTTCCCTCAGCAATTAGCTTGTAGAGCTATTTTTAGTAGGGCTAGAGGGTTGTGGCCCCAAACTATACCTTCCCCCCATATATGGGGGAAGTCCCATATCTGCAACTGCTGCTCCCTCCCTCCATTTAGGTTCTCTCTCCCTGGTTAGAGAGCCAGTTTGGTGTAGTGGTTAAGTGCGCGGACTCTAATCTTGGAGAACCGGGTTTGATTCCCCACTCCTCCACTTGCACCTGGCTGGATGACCTTGGGCAAGCCATAGTTCTGGCACAGCTGTTCTTGAAAAACAGCCGTTTCTGTCAGAGCTCTCTCAGCCCCACCTACCTCACA